GAGTCTTGTCGGACCCATGAAGGAGCTAACCGGAATCAATGTCGGGACAGTTTACTGAGTCTTGTCGGACCCATGAAGGAACTAACCGGAATCAATGTCGGGAGGGAGAGAGATGAATGGTCCCGAGAGAGAGATAAGAGAGAGTGTGGGTGTGTGTATGTGCTTTGTGAGAAAAAGACAGACCACGTGAAAGTGAGTCAGCCACCTAGTGGAAGAAAAATGAAAAGATTCGATCGAGAGAGATAGTGCTTGTGTATTTTTGTTTATTCTCCCCCTTCTTTGACCATGCGTGCTCCTTTTCTCTCTGTCGGTTTGGACATTAGAAGGCAGAAAAACTTGATCTACTCCGACTTGCTTAGCTGCACTAAGATATCCTGAAACATTCGTAAGTTTCTCCACAGTGGTATTGGCTTGCTTTACAACATAGTCCAATGTTTTTGTTGTAATATCATGAAACTTCCCCTGTCCAGTGTACAGAACAACACATCCAACTATTGCAGCAACGGTGAAGAGTATGAGGAAAATAAGAGAGAGAGCATAAGCTGTTCGAGAATAGCCATAAGGCGCCCTTCTACAACAGAAATAGCAGAGACAGATGAAAGATAAGCACAGTCCAAAGACCACAAACCAGATAGCCGCAATGACAAAGAAGGGAGCAGCAGTTAAAGCCACGGAAGCCCAGTAATGGGGCTCCCTAATGTTCCAACCCCCTGAGTATTTCTTGAACCCATTAAGAGGGTCTCTTCTGTGAGAATGTCAAGGCAAGTCTCCACCGCCGGGAATGCGTCTTTGTTTGACAACCATTCCAGTTCTTCCTCTGCAATTTCCTCAGGGAAGGAGAGGCTTTGATGATGATGAGGGTCTGGGTTGGAAGATTCCAGCGAAGAAGAAGAAGAAGAAGAAGGGGTTGTGAGGGTTTTGTCGCCAGCGTCCAAAGTAAAGTTGAGAAGGTCATCCACCATGAAACGCGCACCTGGGTCCAGACCAGTTTCCATTCCTTTCTAGAGAGAGAGATCGAGTGTCGTCCAGTAGAGCCGAGGAAGAGTACGGGTTTACCAACCAAGGACCCTTGGTTCTACCTTGCGATGAGTCGGTCTTCGAAGAGATCCTCCGAGTCGTGTCCCTGTCTGACTCGGCCAACTCGGGTCGGTTTGTTAATCTCGACGATTTCCAGCGATGTTGCGACGTGGGTCGTAGGAGTAATCTTGATGGTTTGGGTGAATCTGGACCGTTGCTTCACGGGTTGGGTGACGAATCAGTTTGTTGAGGAAGGAGAGAGAGAATTAGAAATTTTGGGTTTGTCCGGCGGACGGCCAAGGCGAGGCTGCTGTCCGCTGGTGAAGCGGAATCACTAAATTCTCAACCTTGCTCTGATACCATGTAGAAATTTATGTATTATTGATTGATGAGTTTATGATTGATCTGATACATTGATTTGTTATATTACAAAGCAGAGTAGCTCATTATATAGGAGAGGGTTTGGGTAGTAGGTGAGGAGTAGGTGAGGGTAAATTGGTGGTAGGTGTAGTAGGTGTGGTAGTAGGTGGTGGTAGGTGTAGGTAAATTCTAACAATGTCCCTGTCTGTTACTCCATTGTTTAAGTCTTTAATAGGAATTTAGTTTTGTGACAAGTATGTGACTAAAAAATGAGGACAAGAGAACAAAATTATCTTTATTTTTCACCAATACATACTTTGTCTCACGTGATAAACATGTAAGAGTTATATAATGCAATATATATGTATATATATGTTCGTATGTTGAATTGAAAATTAGTGAAAAATCTAAATGATTTGTGATTCGTAATAGATTTAATTGTAACAAATCCCAAACACACTAAACTAATAATCTAAATCAAATAGTACGTACGAAAGTGATTAGCATGTAGTTTCACAATTGATAAATTGATACAAGAGATTTAACGTTGAAAAATCACAATTAGAGTACCTCCAATTGTGATAAAAAAATCACGTGCCAAAGGCCACTAAACAATCTACTATGAAGATAATGAAATTACACAAGAGTACAAACAATTACCCAACTCACTCTAAGATTGTCTTCCACCTCATGTGCCTCTTTCATCCACGCCTTCGTCTTGGAATCGAATAGCCCAGTGTTGAATCCACAACACTCACGTTGAATCCACAACAATGAGCAGCTTTGAACTCCTTCAAAGCATTCAAGCTCAAACCTGCATAATCCACCGATGAAACAATTCTAAGATGTTTGTATGGTAGCAAGCTCCACGATGTATACAAATTAATCCATGTGAGAGAACAATC